GCGCGTTCACGAAGGTTCCGTGAACGCAAACATTCCTTGTGCAGTGCATTCATTGCCCGCACTGCTCTCCTGGTGCTCCCCGCATCAGTGAGAGAGACCTCACCGGGTACACGACTAACCGTGTACCCGCAAACGTTAAGGAGCTACGTGCTAAGCTTGCTTGCACGCGTCAGCATCCTAGTGTTGTGACTGGGCACAACACCCCGCGTAACACTGCACCCCGCAGTATTACGCCTCCAGTCCGTGGTGGGCTTCGTACGCCATCACCATTTCCGGAACGTCCGTCATCAGGACGTTTCGGGGAAACCACGTATCTCGAAGGAGAGCCGATTGTCTCCAACGAATACGAAAACGAACCGGACCTCGGTTCGTCTTCAAAATGATGTATCGATGCCCGGCATCGATACATCATTTGTGCGTGCAACAGGCCCGGCCTGTGCGTGTGTCTTCTCGGTGTCTGTGCCCCGCACAGACACATTGTCCTTGGTCGCAGCAGGTGTCGCCTGCTCGTGGTTCTTCACAGTGTCAGTGCCCGGCACTGACACGTCGCTTTGTCGTGTGCGGGCTCTCGCACGTGTCATCGCAGCTGATATGTCCGTATCAGCTGTCTTCTACGGTTGTTCGGACGCAACCGTAGATCCTCCCCCACTTAAGGTGGAAGCTACCGCCCCGAGTGTGCTCGGAAGGCGTGGATGCCGCATGGCGTTCACGTAGAACGGTGTATGCCCGGTCGAGACATGCACCGCGTTGTTGATGACGAATTCGGCCATCGGCAAGTAGTCGCTCCAGTTGTGGAACCCCTGGGCGTAGCTTTTCAGTAAGTCCACGAGCACGCGGTTCACGCGCTCGGTTTGTCCGTCCGTCTGCGGATGATCCGCAGTCGACATAGAGAACCGTGTGTGAACACTTCTTGCCAGAAACGCGCCGTGAAGCGCGGATCGCGGTCCGACACAAAGTCGCTGGGCATGCCATGGTTCTTCAACACCATGTCAACGAACACACGTGCCGTCTGTACGGAGGTCACCTCCGCTGCGACAGCGGCGAGATGCACCATCTTGCTGAAGCGGTCAACAAAGACCACAATACCAGTCTTCCGCCTAGAATCGCGCGGAAGACCAAACACGAAGTCCATCGAAACGGACTCCCAACACTCCGACGGAGTCGGTAGTGGTTGCAGAGGAGCCTGCGAGTGAGGCGCAGGCTTCACTCGCTGCCAAACATCGCAAGTACGAACGTACTTGCGCACCCACTTGTACTGGTGGTTCTAGTAGAAGTCTCGCGTG